ATAATGGATTCTGAATTTGATGATCGGGTTTATTCGCACGTCTTTATAATTACAGGCGACTATAACAGCCCATACATCGAACTGCTTCTGTGCGAATGCCGTCTCATGAATATCTCGTGAGTCTGAGCCCTATGTTACGACCGACGGTCAGTCGGCCAGTCTGCACCATCTGGACTAGATTTTTATTACTGCCAGACAGTTGCAGGTTTGTTGATGTGGGGCGCCCTCTCTGACGAGAGGACGGGTCTGTCCTTTATAACTGATGCTGTCCCTCGCCAGTGGAGTCATTGTCGGGTCCGAGTCCCGTGGGACTCGCGACCATATTTTACTGTCTCTGTTTCAAGATTTACCTTTTCATCGCCTCATACGACTCTCAGGGCTACGGTGGAAGTATTCGACCCTGCCTCCACACGGGATATTCTCTCGTAGCTGAAATCGCCTGGACTGAACTAACATCCTTGCGGACCGAATATAGATCACCACCTCGAACAGTTAGTTGTTATTCTGTGTTACCCATTGTAGTGGAAACTAGTGAGCCGTTGCCTAGCAAATTGATTTCCGCTTCTGCTGCTATTCCGGTTTTTAGGCAGTGTTTACAGAGGCGTTGTCTAACGACGGTCATATTCCGTTACAGTATTTTTTTTTAATTCGCTTAGTGGGGGGTGGAGTCCATGTGGGTCCACTCGGCACGGCGACCACTGATTGGCCTATTATAGCCTGCCCCGGGTGATTATGATGATGGAGAATTTGGTGGAATGAAGATTGGCAGGGGAAACCGAAGTACTCGGAGAAATCCCGCCCCAGCGCCACTTTGTCCATCACAAATCCCACTTGGGCAGACCCGGGATCGAACCCGGGTCGCTGCGGTGGGAAGCCAGCGACTGACCGCTTGAGCTATGGCGTGGCCTTCCGTTACATTATGTTTAAAATTCCCGCCGCTATACGAATACCGGAAATATATTAAAATATAATGCAGTAAATTCCTAATGATGACGTAACGGTCTACGTCACTAACTGACAATGACGCACCCTCATTCCCGTAGCAGATGGAGTATAAATTCTAATTTTAACATACAGGGAAACTAAAATCGCCATACCAGGGATATCTTTGAATACACAGGAATTTTTGTTCCGTAAAGTTTCCAACTCAGTACGTGACGTGTCCGCAAAAGAAGAGATGTTTTAGGCAGACAATTGTTAAGTGTTGGTGTGGTAAATAGGAGTTTTGTCTTTCAACCTACTTTTTAAATGTTTATTTCTTTCCCACATGTTTCATTTTCTGTTTCTCCAATTTCTTTCTACGTATATCTTCTTCATACCCACTAGACTCTTCATTCTTTCTCCATTCCTGCCCACATGACCCGAATGTCGTCATGAAGAATTCCCAACCTGCCATCTGTCGCCTGAAACAAATTCTCACGGCTCCAGACACGTCAAGCGGAATGATAGGGCAGCATTTGAAACTGCTGAGTAAAAACTGTAATGGCTTCAAATTACTTTTGGCTGTTTCGTAATGCTTGCGTTTTTTATAATTTCAGAGTTACGTCATAAAATTTCTGAATATTTTTTAAAGAAAACTACTTGAATTCAGAGTGATAATGAAACCAACAACACAGCAGTATGATCCAGGAATTAATTTGACGGTTCTGTTCACACATACGTTGATATATATATTGTCACGTATAGGGGGGTACGTGCGACTAAAATGTCGAGTTCTAGTTTGGATGATTGGATTCAGTAACACTTCGGTTACACTCTTTGTTTTACTTACTTACTCATGGAACTGAGCCCTTCTGGAGGAGCCGCCAGTTCTGCAGTTACTCAAGAATTTCCCAGAATTTTATGGAACCCGAAGGTTCATTACCGTGTTCACAACTGGTCCCTATCCTGAGTCAGATCAATCCAATCAATACCATCCCATCATATCGCTCTAAGACCAATTTTAATATTGTCCACCCACCTACGCCTTGGTCTTCCCAGTGGTCTATTTCTTTTTGGCCTTCCCACCAATATCCTATATATATTCCTCGTCTCCCCATTCGTGCTACATGCCCTGCACACCTCATCCTCCTTGACTTGATCATTCTAATTATACATACACTCTCTTTTAATTACAATTGGTGCAGCGCCATCTCTGTTTCTACGCTTTAAAATTCACTGTTACACACACACACTAGTTCTCTCCTGGTAACGCAATTAAAACACAGGAACTAGCGTTTCAAATCACTCCAGATGTTACTGCACTACAGCACACATAAACCCTTCAATGTCCATTAACACTTCACAGCTGAATCCTCGCAACTCCTTTCCATGACGGCTTTGTGCCTTTGACTCACGGATTCTCGGCTACGACTAGCTACGACTGACGGTTTTCCGCCAAAAACGACCGTCATTGTCCCCTATGAACCTGCGGCACGGACCCCGTAGAGAACACCTGTTATTGTAGATGTGTTTACAGTTCCGTTGCTTAGAAACGGATTGTATAACCCCGTTGTTCTATTGGTGTCTGGCGCAGACCACACCGAAAATAAGTTATGTGATAGCTCTCTCGCCAGGCAATTGGCGCGTTGATTTTGCCTAGCAACGAGCCATAAACATTCACCTTATTGTTGCGTGACCTTAAGCGAGGTGTTTATTTGAGCCGTTGCCTAGCTATACATGTTAGAATACACGTATATAGCATTTTAGTGTAAAATTGTTTACGTAGCTCTGCCTTATATTTCGAAGCTTCAGCACCGTTAACACCAAAGCCCGCCATGGGACATGGTCTTGAGCCGGTTGAATTCACCTCCAATCCTCACAATCTATTTCCCTGAGATCCATCTTACTAATTAACTGACTCTGGTAGCAGAACCCGAAGGTTCAACACCGCTAATACTAAAGCCCGCCACTGGACACGATCCTGAGCCAGTTCCATCCACCTCGCATCCTCACAGCCTGTTTCCTTAAGATCCATCTTATTAATTAACTAACTCTCTGGTAGCAGAACCCGAAGGTTCAACACCGCTAATACTAAACCCCGCCACTGGACACAATCCTGAGCCNTAATTAACTAACTCTCTGGTAGCAGAACCCGAAGGTGCAACACCCCTAATACTAAAGCCTGCCACTGGACACGATCCTGAGCCAGTTCTATCCACCTCCCATCCTCACAGCCTGTTTCCCTAAGATCCATCTTACTAATTAACTAACTCTCTGGTAGCAGAACCCGAAGGTTCAACACCGCTAATACCAAAGCCCGCCACTGGACACAATCCTGAGCCGGTTCCATCCACTCCCATCAAGATATCTAGTCCCTTCATTAGGCTGACTTTATGTCCTGTCTACATCTAATATTCAGCGAATTTTCAGACACATTAGTGCAATTTCCTTCTGTATCACTTAACACAATGTAGCTACACTGAGGCCACGGAAGTATGTCCCATGGATGGTGGGGCGGCAGTTCTTACGGCTAAACCTCTCCGTGTCCTCTGTCTTTTTTTTTTCTGGTTCTTCAGCGGTTCCGTCATCATTTATCTTGCTTAAAGTCGGACGGTAGAACGATTTTTGAACGACGGATTTGAAGAGATTAGGAAGTTAGCGGTAGTGGCCTATTTCAAGGTACTATCCTGGAATGTATCTTGAGGTACTGAGGAAANAATGTCCTGTCTACATCTAATATTCAGCGAATCTTCAGACAGCGGGTGTCCATTAGTGCAATTTCCTTCTGTATCACTTAACACAATGTAGCTACACTGAGGCCACGGAAGTATGTCCCATGGATGGTGGGGCGGCAGTTCTTACGGCTAAACCTCTCCGTGTCCTCTGTCTTTTTTTTTTCTGGTTCTTCAGCGGTTCCGTCATCATTTATCTTGCTTAAAGTCGGACGGTAGAACGATTTTTGAACGACGGATTTGAAGAGATTAGGAAGTTAGCGGTAGTGGCCTATTTCAAGGTACTATCCTGGAATGTATCTTGAGGTACTGAGGAAAACCTGTTGGGAAAACCGAGATTCAAACTGAACACCTCCCGAATATAAGTCAGTATAGACCAATCTGTTCGCTCTTATGTTGTACACGTATTCCCTGAAGTCCCCTCTGGCCTATGTTAACAAACCCGAAATGCTGACGTGTGGTTATCTCTGTATGATAAAATGTTTGTGAACTGAGAGAATAGGCGTGGGAGGGAGGGGGACATAATAGCTTAAGGGGGGATATGAAGGGAGTCGATGAATGGAATATCTTTATGCAGCTTCAGTGTATAAAATGTAAAATATTTTTAAGGTTATGTCATAATTACATAGTGACGTAAATTGTTACGTCATCATTATAAATTCTATCTATCTATGGCTCTACAGCTCTTGGCCGTTTTTTCAGCTTCTTAATCTATACATAATCATATATAGTATTTACGTTAAACCGTCACCACAACAAACATACTCGCTTTTAATATTTACAATTAATCCTTTACTTTGCTACATGTTTCGGTCACACAGGAACATCATCAGGCAATTAATATGGAAAACGTCTAGTCATTTATTTACTAATATGGATGCTTACTAGTGCAACCTGTCATATTGTGTGATAACAGAAATTTTGTCTCAAATAAGTATTACAATTAAGCATGTAAAATAAAAAAGACTATACATAATCGGTAGGACTCCTTGGACGGGGGATCAGCCCGTCGCAAGTTCGCTATCTACACAGGACAACATAAACAGAATAAAAGCACACACAGACATCCATACTTTGAGTGGGATTCGAACCCACGATCTCATTGTTCGAACGGGCAAAGATGGTTCGAGCCTTAGACCGTGCATCCACCGTGATCGGATCATTACAAATTCACTAGACTCAATTCTCATCATGCAAAGGATACTAAAATTATCATACCAGAGATCTTGTTGAATACAGAATTTTTCATCCATGTTTGTCTACGTAAAGTATGACGCAGACGTGGAAATATTTCAGACAATGTATAGTAATTGAGGAGTGTTACCTGTATTCTGATGGACTGCGCAGGCGTGGAGTGGTGACGGCTGGTGCCAGGATGCCTGAGTGGCGGGCGGTATGGTTCAGGCGTGGTGGTTCCCCGGTCTGTGGGCTGTGCTGCTGGTGAGAGCCGAGAGGGTACCGCAGTGGGTGGGCAACGTGTTGGCGCCCACAGACGAAGTGCCATCCGTGCCACTGGATTGCCAGGACGCGGAGTGCATCTGCAGCGAAGTACCCGGAAAGTACGTGAAGGTCGACTGCGTTGTAACTGTTCAGCAAACAATCACATTATGGAATTGAATTTCTCACAACGGTGACAAACAATTGAACTGTCTTTGCGATATGATGTGTAGTCCGGCGAAAGTTCACAGACGTTTCGGAGGAACGTACTGCCTTAATCTTCAAGCTCAAAATGTAAGCCAAGCAACCACCAAGAATTAGGCCTTCAAAATTTTAAATTCGCTTAGTGGGGGGTGGAGTCCAACTGGATCCACTCGGCACGGCGGCCACTGATTGACCTATTGTAGTCTGCCCCGGGTGATTATGATGATGGAGAATTTGGTGGAATGAAGATTGGCAGGGGAAACCGAAGTACAAATCCCACTTGACCAGACCCGGGATCGAACCCGGGCCGCCGCGGTGGGAAGCCAGCAACTAACCGCCGGAGCTATGGTGCGGCCAAAGAATTAAGCCTTATACCTTCGTAAGATTTACTCTCCAAAGTGATGGTCACTTGCTTAACTTACTTTTAAACTCTAAATATGGAGGCAGTACTTTTCTCCGAAACCTCAGTGAACTACCGGGATACTTGGAGCCATATCCTGCAATATATTAGTGTTCAAATATTCATATATTTGAGTGATTGCTTCTGGAAAATAAGAATTCGGATGTTACACTGCTGTTATTCTTTGAAGCCGGGGTAGCTCAGTTCATATAACGGCTAGAACACCAGCTCAAGATCCAGGGATCCGGGTTCGATTCCCTGCGATAGCAAGATATTTTTCTATTCTCCATAGTGTCCACATCGGTTCTGGCTCCCACCCATACACCTATTCAGTGGGTAATGACAGTTTTATTCTCTGAGGTTAAAGCGGCCGAGTCTGGAAGCTGACTACTCACATCAGTCTTCTGCTAGCTTTAAGGATACATGGAATTATATTTCCACTTCCCCGTATTTCGAAATGATGTGATGCTTAAGTTTTATTTTTTTACCTTTCTTCCTTTATTTATTTATATATTTATACGTAGTTCTTGGTGCTCCCAATGTATTTCGCTATCTTCCATCATCTCATTATCTGTACCTTTCTCTATTTTCTGTCCTCTTTCTCCTTCCATTTTTGGGAAAGTATTTTTTACTGGTCACTGAACTTAATACCCAAATTCTGCAAAGATCGGTGCTCTCAAATTCACATAACTACACCGCCATTTGTGAACCGATTGTCTAGAAAATGTGGGTGCCTCAACATCTCACAACCCTATGGACCTCCACGGCTTGTTACAGGGATACCTTTACCTTTATGCATCTGTGGTCAGAAGAAGAGATATCGTTTTCGTCAAGGAAAAAAAAATACGGATGTTGAACGTGAAATATAACACATTGGGTCGTCCGTAATTTTAAGTCAAATTAACGCCAAATGAAGCTGTACTTATGGTTAGTTAACTAAGCTCCACGCCATGAAGACGTATGGGTGAGTGGAGGATTAGCTCCACCATTCTTGGCCTGGGAACTTGATGGAGGTGAGTGGACAGCTTCGCGTTGGAATCAGAATTGAGAGGGGAATCCGAAGTACTGGGATAAAAATCCTGTCCCATTATCAATTTCTTCCACCACAAATCCACATACAGTGTTTTCGGATCGAACCCGGACCGGCGTAGTTGGAGTGCTAGAAATAATAATGGTATACAGCCCGAAAATAATTTCGACGTCTCATTATCATATAGTTAGATCATTATTAAAACGTCACTAGAGTCAATTTTTAACATTTGATGAGCATCCCAAGTCTCATTGAACACAGGACTCTCCTTCAGTAAGGCTGCTGGCTCAGGTAGCAATTAGCATGAGAGTTTATAAGATAAACTTCAGTAGCAAATCGACGCTGTGTTGCAGGTTGGTTGTGTGTGATGGAGGTTCCGGTTGCAAGCAGTTTCCGTCCGGCCTCAACACGACGGCACCCGTTGTTCAGGTTCAGAACACTGGCATCACGACGCTTCAGAATGGAGATCTGGCCAACTTGACGCACCTAGAGGAACTCGAAATAGATCACAATAATAATCTCTCCGTCATAAAACCTTGGACTTTCGAAGGGTTGAGCTCTCTCAGAAACCTCTCAATTTCCTACAACGAAAACCTTACATATCTCGAAGCAGGCGTGTTCGGTAGTTTGCACAGTCTCAGGGAACTTCGTATGAAGAAAGATGGTTTCTTTGATATGGGCTTAATAGCACCAGCCCTGGGCCCATCTTCACTGCCAAATCTTCAGAAGTTAATACTGGATGAGAACCCATTCCAGAAGATAGAGTCCAAGGATTTGGTTCCCATGAATGGATCTTCTTTGCAGCGTCTACACCTGATCGCCTGCCAACTGGAATTCATCCACCCATCAGCATTGGTTCCGTTACGACACCTCAGGGCGTTACTTCTTGGGCAGAATACACTCAACAGCAGCACCATCACCGAATTGGTGTCACACTTGACAGACGAAGGAATTCCTCTCTATCTCCTCAACCTTTATGGGATGGGTTTCCTCAAACGTCCGCCGACGGATTTGATGGAAGCAGTGTCGAAATCTAACATCACTCACCTCGTATTGGCGCGCAACCAGTTCCAGAAGCTGAAACCTGGATCATTTCCTACGATGCCTCAGCTACAGTATCTAGACCTCAGAGAAATTGTAGCCACGGATCTGAAACCTGGTACTCTATCGCCCAGAGTTATGCCCAAACTCAAGACCTTACTGTTCGGTGGGAATATGTTACCAGGTGTAATACCTGGAGTGTTGGTCCCACAGTTGGAATCGTTAGACCTTTCAGCAAATTATGGGGACCCTCGTACTCGATCGTATTTTGATATCGGTGAAGGAAGCTTTGAGAACATGACAAATCTATCGTTTCTAAATCTTTCATATAATAATCTCAGGCGAATATCAAGGCAGACTTTCACAGGTCTGGAGAATTTAAGTAGACATCTTGGCTTGAAGAATGCTTCTATATACCACTTGGAAGAGGGTTCTTTTGAGAATCTGGGGAAACTAAAATTCCTGAACTTGGAATATAACCCATTTCCAAAGCTGTATAATCTTACAGCGGCTATGTTTCGAGGTCTTCATAACCTCAGAGTGCTTCTTCTCAGTGGTTGTAGTATCAGTTTTCTGCCATCTGATGTTTTCAGCTATCTGCCGAACCTGGAGTACCTCATACTTCGTGACAATCACCTATCCACCCTCAGTCCTATCTTATTTGCACCCCTTACTCATCTGATCGGTATAGACCTGTCAGACAACCAATTAGCTTACACAAAAAATACAAGTTACAGATTATTTGAAAACAATTCTGAACTTGAAGTAGTATTCCTTTCAAGAAACAAGTTCACATCTCTGAATCCATTTATGCTTGAAGATGCAGCATTCCTAACGCGCTTGGAACTCTATGATAATAATTTACTGTGTCAGTGTGCCCCATTTTTATCAACGAAAAAGTGGCTTAAAGAACACAATTTTACCCTTGAAGACATGCACATAGCTGGGCTTTCAACACTTCCTTGTTTCTCTCCTGATGAGTGGATGAACAAACCTGTAGTTGAATACATTGATTCCCTTACGGACAGCTGCTTGTTACCTCCTGGTGAAGATCGAGCCTTGATTTGGATTATGGTGCTTCTTGTCATGTTCCTTGTTTTAAGTTCTTTATTGGCGACTGTTGCATATTATTATCGCTCTTACATCCGTTATTGGATATTCATCGCTCGTATGGATATTCGGAGACTTGGTCTCAGGAGACAGGACTGTGAAGGATATAAAGAACATCAATACGATGCCTTTGTATCGTACAGCAATGAGGACCGTAACTTTGTAGTGAGACTTGTGGCCATGTTGGAAAATTATGAACCTTTCTTGAAGCTTTGTGTGTATGAGCGTGATTTCGAGATAGGGGCAGTGATTTCAGAGTCAGTGCTGCAGAGTGTTGCCTTGAGTCGGAGGACGTTGCTCGTGATTAGCGACGCCTTCGCCAGGTCGCAGTGGTGTCGCTGGGAACTGCAGCTAGCGGAGCATCATCGACTGTTCCTAAGGGATGATAATGAGGGCGGAGACCCCCTGATAATGATTAAGTTAGGGCAAGTTGCAGAGGCACACATGACTCCAACGTTGAGATATTTATTGAGAACACGGATATACTTAGAATGGGATTCAGAACCCAGAAAACAGCGACAATTCTGGGACAAACTTCGTACCGCTCTGGCCCCACCACCCGTAAGCATAGCAACTACAACGAATACCCAATAAAGTGCAATATTTATGCCTATATTTTGGCAAATCTGGTATTTTTTTAGTCTGGAAGGAATCCCGGCTCCGAATAACGAAGTGGTGATAGTGTTCAACGGAATACCAAAGACTTGGTGTGATAAAGGACAGTGGTGAACGAGTCGTGGCCAACCGAAATTCTTAATGTTATCTGCTGGCTAATATCATGAATGCAAAATGTTCATGTACTGAAAAGTTTGTGAAAAATGAGCGGTGATAAGATTCTCAGCCATTTTCTTGCATGCATGAAGTAAAAAAAAAAACGTTTTAGCTATCACAATATCCTGTACCATACTTCATACAAAAATTCTCTATACTGAAGACTACTATCTTCTGGGAATCCATTGGGTATCGGGGGTTCTTTCCTAGGAAGTAAAGGGCCAGGGGCGTGAAGATTACCAGTCATCTCCAGCTAGTACAGAGTTCAAGAATGGTGGAGCTATATCTCCACTCCCCCATACGTCTTCATGGCATTGTACTTAATTAATCAAGCACAGATACAACTTTACCTTTTTATCTTCTATGATAGGACACCATGCACTCTGGTAGAAGTTTACAGACGTTTCTGAAGGTTGTTCTACCTCCATCGTCAGGGTCGAATAATAAACCAGAAAATAAAGCAGCAAGTGACAAACACCCGGCTACCCTACTACACGGCGTCATATGCCAGAAGATGGTACTCTTCATAATCACAGATATGAGAGCATCAGTTCCAACACAATACAATATTGCTAATTGAAGTCTTAACTAAAATTATAATGAATAAAATTTCTCTTCATTATAGTTCAGTCAACTGTAAGCATTTTAACGTGAGCATTCTATTCTGTTCCTATGTAAGAATGTGTAAGCACTTGAAGATCTGAGTTATACATGAAGTTATCTCTGCGTTTAAATATGTAGTAATACCTGATTAATCAACATATTAAACAACTAATTGATCTACACAAAACTACAAGCCGTGATTTTAGACCTTGCCTCTTGTGTGCGCTTGAGAAATATGGAAAGGAATTGCGGGGCAGTGGTTGCAGCTATATATTGGGAGGAACGTTGACGTACTGTAACCAAGGTCCTACTATATAACCCATATACACCATCCAATCCTTACCTCAGTTGGTCGACTTGACCGAATCGACTGCGCACTCTGTTCGAACTGCCAGGTCTAAAAACACGGACAGTAACTACAGCAAATCTATTATTGACAGCATTGTACATAGTTTTGAGACTTCTATAACACAGTGTTTTGGGAGCTGAATTTCATGTAGTTCACCGACGTTTCGGAGGAACATACTGCTTCCATATTCANTACAGCAAATCTATTATTTTAGGCATTGTACATAGTTTTGAGATTTCTATAACACAGTGTTTTGGGAGCTGAATTTTATGTAGTTCACCGACGTTTCGGAGGAACATACTGCTTCCATATTCAAGGTTAATGACTAAATCGATTTAGCCGACGAGAAGCAGGCTCTAAGCGAAGCAGTATTGTAAGGTATAGACCCCTTACTAGGTAACGAAACAACGAAATAACATCCACTTCTAGGTAACAGAATCTTAATAAGTAAAAGTTTCCTACGGAAACAATTGTAGCACAAGTGAACAGTGTTTTCTACTCGGTCCTTGCGAGATGTTATAAAGAGGACAATTGGAACAAGAGTACAGAATGTTTTAAGGGGGTCTCTGAAGAGAAAACTTATTCGGTGCAGTTGAAAGTCAGTGGGCAAAGAAGTGAGCGCAGAAGTTGAAGAATCTCCACTGTTAAAGCCGTTACCAGGGAACGACTGGTGAAGAGACAGCAGATTGAAAAGACTTAGCGTGTGCTGTAGTGATTTCTGAAGTGTGAAGATCAGCAATTGAGCTATAATTAACACGAGTCACGAGTCATGTGTTAAAGTGGATAATAAATCCATCTCCAATGCAAACCCCGTCTATAATCACATATGTCGGTGAGCTACCAGACTACATTGCGTTGCCTGCCGAAAGACAGAGCTCTTCATAATTCACCGCTGTGACTAATCTCAAATACAACATGAAATTTTTCCGTCATCAAATGTGGGGGCGAAAATTTGGGGCCACTGGTATTTTGGTGGTGGTGATGACTAATTGAAAGGGCCTGTTGCTTAAAAGCAGAAGCGAATCGGGGGGGGGGCGGACACAAAGAAAACTCCGCTCTCAATCTACCTAGTACCAGGCTCACGAGAGATCCATATTTTTTACCAGTCGATCAATAGGTTCTTCCATAACAAATCTTAAATATTTTTTCATTATTTTGCATCTTTAAAGTACAGTGGTTACTTTACATACCACCTACTTTAACATTAAAGTACTATGCATTTTGCCCCCACAATATATACATAGACATAGATAGGAAGATAATATTAAAATGGACCTTAGAGAAATAGAATCGTTTGGTATGGGCCCGATTTGTCTAACTCAGGATAAGGACCAATGGCAGGTATTTGTGAACTCAGTACTGAACATTTGGGTTATATATAATTGGGATTTATTGAATGGCTAAGTAACTGTTAGCTTCTCAAGAAGGTATCGCATATATGGAGTCAAGTGTGCTTACATGTTTCGTTCAATAAAAAAAAAGGTTCGTCTTAGGGAAACGTTGATTTAAATAGAGCTGTTTCCGCACAGCTACACGACAACCATCTTTCGCTCAAGAAGGCATAACGCGACGAACGCACATGCAAAAAAAGCCTACCTGATTCGTTTTTGCATTGGAGACGCAATGTGTTTCCTGTGAGGTAGGATCTGAAATGTTTTAAACAGTGTATCATTGAGATGAAATTAGTGCTTTATATGGCTGAAAGACAAAGGCGATAACATTATTTTTAGAGGTATTTATCGATGTCTTCGATATCAAGACTTGATGAACTGGAAAGATCTGGAAGGAAGAGATCGTGATCTCATGGACGTACTGTCACGGTATGGAAGGACTGCAGGTTTTCCCGCTGATATTCTAACCGAGCAGCTCTCTAATACAAGTCTCTAGGACAACCCACTTAATGACAACATTAAACTATATATTATGCATAAATAAAATATTTCTAACAAAATCTACTCATAATCTAACTACACAAATTTATTAAGAGTGAAAATATTTATAAAGTTACCATTTTGACTAAATGCCACGTCATCACTGCGTATGTGTGACGTAGAAGAATTTAAGTCATTCTCCCATCTTGGAATTAAGGATAGCAGGACGTAAGCAGTCAGGTGTATGTTCCGGTCGCCTTTAATTCCAGCCGTTAGCCACAGGTTAAGATATGGAAGCCAGGTCCGTAACTGAGGAATGGAGAAACAAGAAATACAGGTACAGTTTTAAGAGAAATTTCTTGGAATAAAGAAAGGGAGAAATATTAAATTTCCTCTTAAAAACATATTTTCATCACGCGGGTTGAACTAAACTGGCACAGAACACATGATTCGCACATATTCCTTTAATTTTGGCTCTTTGATGCAAAAATTTCTATGTATTGTTTGTCTGAAACATCTTTGAGGATACGTCATACTTAGAGTAGCCAACCTTACGGGAAGAAAAGTGCCGTGTGTTCAACGAGGACTCCGGTATGACGATTATCGCCCTCATCGTGTGTTAAAAATATACGATTGCGTAACGATACACATCACTAACTCATATGACGCAAACTCAGAAGATATTTCAGACACAGTATTACACATTTTGGATTTAGACGGGAAGTCAACTGGTGGCCATGGCGGAAGGGTGAGTACAAAGAAATGACATGCACAACATTTAAACAATGGCTGTATGTATTTACACTATTAACAAGGCAGTATGCAGCCATGGCAGTATAAAATGTATACGCAACTGTGCTATCCCAGCTAGAACACACTGCATAATGTTAACACGATTTCTGCTCCTGACTGCAACACGTAGTGGGAAATTTCTCGTACACTTTACAGCGTGCACGAATAAGATAGAAGTAAGTTAAAAACAGCTGAAACGAGCTTCTGTGTCTGAGAATAATTACAATATCATTACAGGATATATTTTATGTTCTTTGTAAGCATAACAGTCTCACTTTGTGACCCCAGGTGGTATAAAATTCATACCAAATTTTAATGAGTGAGATTTTCTGGATCTAAAACATGCATGGTTCATTTAAAATTAAATTTTCAGTAGCTTACAAGCATCGAATGGTGGGAAAATGAATGAATAATGAATTTAAAAAAATGTGGAAATAAGTGGTCGTAACTTAATTTTATATATAATCTTGATCTTCAGAGGGGATGGGGAAAAATATGAAGAATACCCGGACAAGATTGCCTCTGGGCCAAGATATGTAAGCAGTATTTCTCGAATATGAAGTAGGAATGATTGCAAAATTCAGTGAATATGAATTTTATTCGTTGGTAATGAAGGATATGCTGGCTGTACTGTCAGTCACTTCCCTCAGACAAAACAGGGCTAAAGTCACCGAAAATCTAGGTGTAATGGCCAGCAATACTGCTTTGTCTCTGGAAGGTTCTGGGTTCGATTTTCGGCCCGAAAACTATCGCGACAGTACCTACATCAGCACAGTGATTACTATTTCTACCAATTGTTATGACACTTCGAAACTAGAATTTTTCCCTAGAAGAGTTTTATGGATTTCATGTGATTTTCAGAATAAATTATAATCATTTTCTTATACAGAATTAACCGCATGGTATTTCGAATGGAGACATAGCATTTGTATGGTGTAGCTTATTAATTGTTAAATATTATTCAGTTGAATTCATGCCTCAAGGGGTTATATAGGCCTGGACTGTCTTTGTCTCGTGTGCTTGGGCAACATATTTGATTATTTTAGACAAAAGACAAATAGAAGTTTTTTTTTTAAATAAAGCATTACTACATTACTTTTTTCAAACAAGTATTTTCATGTAACAGTGAACGTTGTTCATAGAGGTAAGAGTTCACGAGATTTAATTTAAGCAGGAAACGTGGACAAGTTTTGATATAAGCTCGAAACAGAACAAGCAGCGAAGGGCAGTCTAGATGCAGGAGCAATGACGCGGCTCTAAGGCGCAGTGTGTTCAGCTTAGGACATCCTTTGGTTGTTTTGTACGTAACTCTCACCTGTTCCTTGCGGAACTCAGTTCTGTGTCGGCTGACAAGGGGTGGTCAAGCATTTCAATGGAATTCTTGATTTCACGTTAATACGTATAAACTCTTTGGGAATATGAACATTTCTGAAGTTATATAATGTAATATTTTAATTAGCCCTGCTTTCATTCCTGTCTATTAAAGTAGTTATGCCCGTCTGTCAGTCTGTACGCAAGAAACGACATGAAGGAATTTCAATAAAATATGACACTTGAGAGTTCTGTTAGCATTTGTAGACACAATGAAATTTTTGTTAAGTTAATAGAAAAAATGAACTGCTTAAATGAAGGCCTACACGCGTTTCTGCTCATACCTAAGCAGAAACTTGTTATTGTTTATCGGAACGAAAAATATTTCGAAGAAAATTGGAATAGAAAATAAAACAGCAATTTTCTCCTAATACTAAAACTATCATTTTTTTTTCAACTTTTGTAAAAGGCCTCTTTAAATCATGGAATCGAGAATTCTAAGGCAACTTTGTAGAATAATGAGGCCTATAAATGCCAGATATGATGAAAATAACAGACAATACCTAACCTAGCACTAACTTACATATTTTAAAAAGTATAGACAGACAATACTTGCAATAATTTCTGTACTTTAATTATGTAACAAAGTAAACTTCTTTCCCCTGCCAATTTTCATTCCAAAAACACCCCCACATGTCATCTGAGTCTAGAATATTACAACTCTTGAGGCTACGATATTATGGGATCCGCGCTTACATAATTCCGAAAATATGAAAGAAAAATATATAAGGGGAGTAGAAATATGTTTTGTAGCAATCAGTACCGGTTTCCCCTAAACAGAAAACCTACGTAAAAAGGAGGTTCAGGGATTTTTCAGATGTTCCAGAGTCCAAGTTATCGACTGAGAGCTAATTACAAATTTCCCATATAGCCATACATGACCACACCTTTGTCCAGCATGTAATTCGGTTTTACACATTTCATGACTGGTCCAATATTATTTTATAAACATGTGTTTACAAGTTTTGTAAAAATATAAATTGTAAATATTTATAATATATACTTGTGTCCACCAATCTGCCATCATGAATAACCTTTTTACATTAAATACGTGATAAGTTAATCTTTCGTACAATGTTTGTATGTACAATAGAGGCTCCGGCTTGGCGCTTCTGCGCAGGTCTTCTTTGGTTTGCACGTCACGTGGTCTACACGTGTCAGGAATAGATAGTCATCAGGATCATCTGCAACAGATATCACAATCATAAGACAAAATAAATAAATCATGACTTATTGGAGGAAGAACATGCTTATGCCCAAGCTCTGAAGCTCCATGCTTTCTTAATCTTGCAACTTTACTAAGGTCAAATAAAGAAGTTCCTTTTGAGAAGCTGAAGTTGCTCAGCCAGTCAAGACATTTCCCAAAATTTTAAGGAAACCTAAGTTTCATCACCGTATTCACAAGAGCCATCAAACGGTTCCTATCGTGAGCCAGATCAATCCAGTCCATACCACAGCATCCTTCTAAAATCCATTTTATGTTATAATCCTACTTACATCTAGGTCTTCCTAGTTGTCTCTTTCCTTTACTTCTGACTTTCCCACAAGAACCCTATATGCATTCCACTTCTCCCTCATCCAAGCTACATGGCCTGCCCATCTCATCCTCCTCGACTTCCTCATTCTAATTATACTTGGAGAAGAGTACAAGTTATGAAGCTCCTCATTATGCAGTTTTCTCCAACCTCCCGTCACTTCATCTCTCTTCGGTCCAAATATTCTCCTCAACACCCTGTTCTCAAACACCCCCAGTCTATGTTCCTCCCTTAATGTCAGAGACCAAGATTCACATTCATACAGAACCATAGGCAAAATTATGGTTTTGTATATTCTAATTTTTATGTTTTCAGAGAGCAGAAGAGAAGACAAAAGGTTCTGGACTGAATGGAAGCAAGCATTTCCGAAATTTATGCTACTCTTAATTTCCTCACGAACTGGATGTTTCACTACAATACAAAATAGCATACACTTCATGGCGTTTCAATGCTTAGGCGCAGGAGATACAAGTTCGATTCTGGGTGTGGGGCCAGGATATGTAAATGTGAGAGATATCGCTCACCTCTTCTAACGACAGGGGATTCCCCTTCATTTTTGTGTCCAGACTATGGTAGCGTTCTGTGAACAGAGAATATAATTATCATTTATTTGATTTACTTTTTTCTTTTTTAAACTTCTTTTCAATTTCTATTTTATTCTGTTATTTTACTAACCTAATTTGTTTTTATTATGTTATATATTATATCTTTAATTTATTTCCCTCTTTATATTTTGGGATAACTCAGATGGTATAGCGACTGGCTACGGGCTGGAGGACGGGGGAGTCGGAGTTCGAGTCCCGGTGAGGCAAGAATTTTCACTTCTCCATGTCGTCCAGACCGGCTCTGGGGTCCACCCAACCTCCTATAAAATGGATACTGGGGACTCTTTCCTCGGGGATAAAGCGACCGGGGCGTGAAGCTGACCACTCATTTCCAACTAGTGTCGAGGTCAAGAAAATTTGTATCTATACATCCATCTCCATATGGCTTCATGGCGTAGTGCTTAAATAATTAAGCACAGGGACAACTTTACCTTTTACTCACTTCTCATCTTCAAGAGCCGTCATTTTCTGGGCTACGGGATCGCATTGTTTGTACATTAGTTCACTCTTACCCACAGCCCTTCCTCTCCCTTCCCTACAAAATGGTAAAAACTATCTCTGTAACAGGCCGTGGAGGCCCACAGGAATGTGAGACGTCGAGGTTCCCACATTTTCAAAACAATCGGCTCATAGATGGCGCTGAGTTTGTTTGTCTTACACGCCGGCCGCCCTTAACCCCCCAGGAAGATACCTGGTACTCATTTTTGTTGCAGGCTGAGTCGACCCCAAGGCCATAGCGCGGCTGGAAGAATTGGGTCAATTTTAAAAATACAATGACCTCATCGGGAATCGAACCTGCGACGTTCCGGCTTGAAACATAGTGCCCCCAACCCCTATATTTTCGACCCTACTTCAGAACGCCTTGCTTTTCAACCCTCAATATGGAATCAGGAAGTCCTTCCTAAACCCTGGTACTTATCAAAATGCAAGTCATTCCAACTCAGAAGATCCAGCCTTCGCGTGCTTCACGTTCAACCCACACAACTTCCCCACCTACGGCTGTACGTCTGCGTTTTGGATACACACCATGAGCGAGGTGGAGGCGCACCATAGCCATGACGAAGCACTCCGAGGTGAGCACCTTGTTCTTGGCGAACCTGAGCACCAGACACTCGAGCACCTTGTTGCTTGCAGTACCGCCCGCCTCCCACAGCAGAAGCCGCAGGTTGTAGCTGCTGGTCTTCCCACAGTGTCCGCGGTCGAACTTGTGGAACGCGACCTGAGGAAGACAAACGGCACATCCATCTACTGCGGGAGGACTGCGACTCGTACACGCAGTACGGTTCTTTACCAGTTCTTACTGTCACTTACACAAGAATACGTAGAGTTGTACCTACACGCCCTTTACACATCTCAGTTGCGTCGTACTGAAGGTAAAGTTAATTTTATCATTAATACTATTAAAATTACTACAATAAAATTAAATTGAGCTAAATAATAACTAACTTCATGGAGCTGAGCCCTTCTTGAGAAGCCGCCAATTCTGAGGCTACTCAAAAACTTCCCAGCATTTTATGGAACCCGAAGTTTCATCACCTTGTTCATAAGAGCCTCCACCTATGTCTTGGTCTTCCTAGTGGTCTCTCTCGTTCTGGCTTTCCCATTTCTTCTTCCCCATTCGTGCTACATTTCATCCCCATCCAATTTCCTTCACTTGATCATTCTAATTATACTTGGTGAAGAGTACATGTTATGAAGCTCCTCATTATGCAGTTTTATCCAACCTTCCGTCACCTCATCTCTCTTGGGTCCAAATATTCTCAACACCCTGTTCTCAAACACCCTCACTGTATGTTCCCCCCTTAATGTCAGAGACCAAATAATAAATTATAAATTAATTAATAAAAATTAGAATAAATTTTCTAATAATTTAACTAACGTGTGGCCTATTTTAAGAAGATCTCAGCATGCAGACTGCATGATTTATGATTCAAATTAACTGGAAAAAAGTAGCCGTGGAGGAACTGAGAAAATCCATGGACCACGGAAGACCTCAGTCAGGATATCCTGCATCCCGGGAGAAATTTGAATGGAGAACTTACCGGATACAAGTCGAGAAATTTACAGTTATGCCAACTCAATGCGCGAAAATAATTTCCATTGCTTTAGTCCTCTCTTGCTGAGAAACACAGGCATAAAACTGTCCACCACAGAAACAACTGATTTCTAATTTCGCTGAAATGCTTCATTTGGCAACACAATTGGTAAACTGCGTCCAAAACATCTTTGAGGTTACGTCATTATCAGATAGTGACACAGGCCATTATGTCATCATTACAAAGTTACTGGATTCTGATACGAACCTACGATGGGCATCAAAATTACCACACCAAATATCTCGTCTTATATACGGGTCTTTTGTTCTGTAACGTTCCTGTACAAGGTTATGAAGTATCACCCTAGATGTTTTGAGGCAGACATATTTACATATTTACAGATACATATTTAGAATCAGTGCCGCCAACTGCCAGACATAACCTTACCCTCCAGAATTGCAGCATGTGCATGAGGACTGGGATGTCCACTACGTTGATACGGCCGCTGATATTGTAGTCCCTGAGCATGATGAGACTTTTACACAGTTCCAGGCTCGGCTTCTCGGACAGGTACACTAGGAATTGCAGTGAGGCTCTTATTAGTTCATTATATCTACTAGAACAAATCCCATTAACATCAAAACAGGAACCACTCAGATCAAAATTTCAAAAGTTGCTATTGACAGAATGTGCAAGAATGACGTCATGAAATTGCTCTTCAAACGTCTGTTCGGCGCTGTAAATCGTCTTTGGGCTCTAATGTCGGACATTTTTAACATCAGCAAGAGTAACAGTTGCAGGACGGCCGCGCCATAGCTCAAGCGGTTAGTCGCTGGCTTCACACCGCGGCGGCACGGGTTCGATCCCGGGTCTGGTCAAGTGGGATTTGTGGTGGACAAAGTGGCGCTGGGGCAGGTTTTCTCCGAGCAGTTCGGTTTCCCCTGCCAATCTTCATTCCACCAAATTCTCCATCATCATAATCACCCGGGGCAAGCTACAATAGGCCAATCAGTGGCTGCCGTGCCGAGTGGACCCAGTTGGACTCCACCCCCCACTAAGAGAATTAAAAAAAACGGCTTCAGGAGGTTTTTGTACTACAATTTCGCTCGCTGTTGTAGTTTTCTGCTATTTTATTTATATAGATATGCCAAAGGTAAGTTTTGAGGTTTTCACGGCGATGACTATGAAGAAAGTCGTCTTCTGGGATCTGGCGCCGTGTATTCTTGGTTTTCACAGACGTTTCGGAGGACCGTATCGCTTCCATCTTCAGGACAGGTGAGTCGCGTTGTGAATACTCTGTATACACGGCGCCAGATCCCAGAAGACGACTTTCTTTATATGCTAAAGGGTTCTGATGGTGGTGTAGATCACTCAGGTTACTGAGTTTTTGGATTTTGTCCAGAGTCCGGTGTTCTGAAAATGTCTGACCATACTCTCATGGGTGAGCGTTCATACACAAACTTATAAGAAACCTAACTACATTTATTTTAAGTCTAGCGTTAAATAAGGATAGAAAGATCTTACGTTATTTAATGACGCTGTATCAAATTCAGCGAATATTAAGTACTAATATGATACGAATTATAGCATTAGGCAAAACTGTACCTATGGAAAAGGAAGCGGGCGTGGGCTACTTTACGGCGCCAGTGATACTATCCAGGCATTCACCTGCACAGACTGCGAAAAATTACGACAAAACTTAGCCAGGATGGCTGGTATTCCGAGCAAGATTCGAACAAGGGACCTACCGAATACAAGTCCGACGTGGACCAATCCGCAAGGTCTCTGCTTGCATAATGTTCTTTATTCTCTGGCAGGCAAGTTACACCCCCCCCCCCCCCCCGCGACGCNTTAAAATTGCATTAAGGGAGATTGGCAATGATCAGATCTTATGAAAAATTTTAATAAGGTTGAAGATTACTATCATGGTGAACGTTACGCCGTATAGTTTAGTAGCTTGTCACTGTTTCGAAGAAAGGTACTGCCTCCATCTTTACGGTCAAAAGTAAACCAAAGAAGGCAAGTAGCAAGCAGAGATATGTACGCTCCTACTAGATTAGACAACGTCAAACCTCAGAACAATATACCTTCCATGGTTACCGTCATTACAATCTCAAATTCAACTTTAATGTGATTGATTGCACGAAGCCTTACCTTTCCAGTGAGCTTTGAGTATTTTTTGCAACTGCAATGCATCTACTTCCGGGGGATATTTAACAAGTAGTTTGGCGGCAATGGACTTCCCGTCAGGCTGAAACGTTAAAAAATAAAGAAGTAAATTTGAATATAACATGAAGAAAGCAATAGAAACAACTCCAGAAACGTCATGGATATTAAATTGCTTTAGACAATTATGAATATCGAAAATTATGGCAGGATTTATATTTGTGTGAGTCCACAGGGTAATCAGAGTTAGGAGGCCCCTATCAGTAAAACAAATTTACGTTATGGGAGATCTTTATTTTTATTAATTTAGGGTTATAACTAAAAATACAAACTAACTGTTTGTGATTTTAGATAAAGAAATGTCTCAATAAAATCTGCGAATTATATTCCTGTTTTATGGAGGCCTCGGGGCCACCGCCTCGGTCGTTCCTCTTAAAATTCCACCCTGACGAAAATATTTAACCACTGTCAAAAATCTTTAAAGTAAAAGTAAAGCTATCCCTGTAACACGCCTTGGAAGCCCATAGGGTTGTGAGACGTTGAGGTTCCCACATTTTCTAGACAATCGGCTCGTAGATGGCGGTAAAGCCGACCGCCCTTTACCCCCAAGAACATTCTAAGAATATTCCTGGTAGTCATTCCTGTTAGAGGCTGAGTCGACCCCAAGGCCATAATGCGGCTGGAAGGATTACGGAAATTGAAAAAACTTCAGTGACCTCGTCGGGATTCGATCCCGCGACCTTCCGGCTTGTAGCATAGTGCCTCAACCTACTACGCTACCGCAAATCTTTAGAGAGAGAAAAAAATAATATTATGTAAAAATGGAAGTGTCATGTAAGTTTCTATTAATTGTCCTTTGAAAAAGGAGAACTCGTAATTACGAAATAATTACTAACCATTATCACAGATATTAGACATTAATAAGAATACTGCGAGCCATGTGGTCTTCCAGCCTCTTTTGTTATCCAGAATGAACGGGACAGAGTCAGCCCTAGAAACGCAGCTAAACAAATAACACAAGCCAGCAAAGAACTTCTACTATATGGAATTCACTCTCTTAATATTTTTCTTGACAACGAAGTTCAGTTAAAAAGCCAACAGATGTCACATGTTCTCAATATAGCAATTTTTGTAATCGTCGAAATTTTCGGCGCTCGGCTTTTCTAATGTGAATGCACATTAATATTTGTCTATAAAATTGTATTTTCGGTAACATCGGTCCATCAATTGCTGCCCAACATAAGATATTAATACTTTTCTTTTTCTTTTGGTACATACTTGAATATTGCTTTTTACATTTCGGAACGTCGAAGTTTGACACCCTGGTCCTACCACTGCGACATCCAGCTTAAATTAGTATTTCCTAAGTATATATTTAATATATACACATTAATATTTTAATTACATAGATACTACGGTTATGACTGGACCTGGGATTTGACAAGCTTAGTCTAGGGACTTACCAGAATTATTGGTGCTGTTGAATCGTCCATGAACTCTGTAGAGATGGTTCTGAATAGCATGTTGTCCTCATTCACTTCCCTGAAAACAGACGCCAATTATGTTGGATTTGAGGATTTTACACCGGTAACTATGAAGAATTCTGTCTTCTGGGATACGGTGTTATGTACTGACTTAACAAGTCACTCAAGTAAGTGACGAAAGTAATTTAATCAGTCATTTTGTCAGAGCATTTAATCACATCACTGTCACTAAAGTCAGTCAACCTGCGAGATATTTTGAAAAAGAGACCACTGGGAAGACCAAGGCGTAGGTGGGTGGACAATATTAAAAAGAATCTTAGAGAGATAGGTTGATATGGTATGGATTGGATTGATCTGGCTCAGGATAGGGACCAATGGAGAGGTCTTGTGAACACGGTAACGAACCTTCGGGTTCCATAAAATGCCAGGAAATTCTTGAGTAGCTGCAGAATTGGTGGCTCCTTCAAAAGGACTTTGTAGAGTTTAGAGCTGTTAATATGCAACGACCGCGAAACAGGCAAATATACCACACACGTTTCTAAGCAACGGCTCGGTAAACACGTTCCCACAGCAAAGAATTAAAGAGCAACAATAGAGGTATTGTTGAAAACGGAGTCTCCTACTCGGTCCGTAGCGGGATGTTATAAGCAGGGGATAAGGTTAGAGCTTAGTCAGTTCTGTACGGGAGTCTGTGAAGACAGGACATGAGACCGGTGGCAGAAGAATATCCATTGTTGGAGCCGTTACCAGGAAACGTCTGGTAACAGACTTAGAACACTAGACTGCGTGCTCTGGTGAGCTGTAAAGTGCGATAACAGCGGTAGTGTTATGGTTATTTGTAGTTATGACCTGTAAGTGGTCAATAAACCTATTCACAAATCCAAACCCCATCTACAGTCACACATATACGTGTATACATGACAATGTGTGATCTATATATAAATGAGAATTATACACAAACCTTTGACTGGAAAGGGCTAAAAGGAAGAGAACATTTGAAAGACATAGTCATAAATAGAACGAAAATATTAAAATGTGTCTTAAAAAATCTACTGTGAAGTGGTGGTCCACTGGCGGGTCTTGTTAATATGTTAATGTGCTTCCAGGTTCCAGAAATGGCAAGGAAATTCTCGATAAGCTGTGTGACTAGTAGCTTCTCAAGAAGAACTCTGCTTTACTGAGCTGATTATACCGAGACTGCAGAAAGATGTACCATATATGGTGGGGATGATTATCTTCAAGACCTCCCACCTCTCTGTCTTTTGTTGAATTCTCTTCTTTCCTCTTCTGGCTTACGTTAACCAGGCAAAATTAAGATGGCGCCAGTGAATGTGATGGCTACAGACATTCGACTGAACAGAATGTTTGAAGAGTGGAAGGGAATATAACAGAATGTCATGAAGGGAAAACGTCACTGCTACCAGCATCTGCACCAAATAGATTAAAATTCAAATTAATGAATAATTAAATATAAAAAAAATATTTATAATAAATTAAGTTACAATTTCTTTCTTTTCTTAACTTATACTTCTATCCCGAATATTCAAGTGCTACTGCTTAAATATATTTACTCAAAGCAAGAATTGTGGAGTCAGAGAAACAGCAGTTGCTAGCGAACGGCTCTGAAACAACATTCGTTTCTAGGCAACGGACGCGAAACAGACAATGGAACTACAACCGTTGCTTGACACCAGATACTTAATAAGCAAGAATAGGCGGCTGCTTTTAGGGAACGGCTCAATAAACACATTCCCGTTGGAGCTGCTAGCATACGAGAATGGTGTTGCGCACGCCCTGGTCGTGCTGAGAAGTTATAAGGAAAGCAACTGGGGCTACCAAGTCAGGTCTGTATGGGAGTCTGTGAAGAAAATAAGAGTCAGTTGAAAGTCAGACTGTGAAAACAAGACGTTGTGTGTGCTGTGGGTACAGCGATGTTTGGAGTGTGTGAGACCGTTATAATTACTTGTACTTATGAGTTGTGTGTATGAGGAGCAAATAAATCCAATATCCAATTCAAAACTCCCTCTATAATCATCCATACAACGTGACAATATGTTTGTAAGAATAGTTTCTGGTTGTCTCTCCTTAAATAATTTCTTTGCCCCTCCTTGGGAAACAGATTCCCCGCCCCCTTGTAAAAGAAACCCTGAGGCGTCAAAGGGAAGCGCGAAAGCTCGAAGGTAATGTGGAGAGACTCGATCCATGGGAGTTCTTTCTGTGGTACCAGTAGTAGTAGTTTGATTTCTTTGACGCCTACTACAAACTCCTCAAATCGATGTCTTCAGTTTAACGATACCAATGTAGGATACATATGCGGAAAGTAAAGATACAAAGTCCAGACAATATTTGTGAAGCATTTTCTTTTGGATTCACTTGTAGCACTTCTACAACACATCTTTGTTTACTTTTCAGTATAGTCACCATGGATCGCAATACACTTAGCGAGCCTGGGAACGATTTTTTTTATTCCAGCTTCGTAGAAATCTCCCGCCTGCTCTCTTAGCCATGGAGAACAGTTCTTGACATTTCTGGACATTGCTGATGAAGTTCATCGATGGTTAAACGTTTGTCAGCACGAATGTTTTCATCAGTTTTTTGGAAGGTTTCATCAGTGACAACGTATGGCCTTCATCATGAACAAAACTTCTTTCCGCTTCAAATTCACGACGCCATTTTGCCACGTTTTGCCTGTTCATGATATCTTCGCCGTGAACAGAAACAAGTTTCAGCAGCAGTTTCTCCTTTCGCGTGAATACTGTAAAAACCTCACATTTGGCGGGATTCTGAATCGACACGGACATTTTAAACACACATTGCGAGCATAACGTTGCCGTGCCTTGCATTTTTACTGGATTTGTATCTTTACTTTCCGGATATAGCTCGTATTATGATGCTAACCAGATGTTGCTCTGTTCGTCGGTGAGGATCCTCAGCAGAAACTTGCCGTCGCAGTTGGGAATGTTGGTCTGAGGAACCACGATGTAGTCACCTGGGGGAAGGGTGAAGAAAGTCACCACTTCGCGGGCCACCGAGTGATTCGTGACATCCAGCGGCTTCTATCAACAGAAACAAGACAATAAGTGTTGTTCGTAATCCAGCAAAACTCCGATTCTCCTTAAGGATTACTGGGTTTTTGGAATTTATGCATCATCTGCTATAAAGGGTTTGAGACGTCGAGGCTTCCATATTTTCTACACAATCGACTCACAAATGGAGGTGAGCTTGTCAGCCTCACGCGCCGGCCGCCCTTTACCCCCAAGAAGATTCCAGGTACTCATTTCTGTTAGAGGCTGAGTCGACCCCAGGGCCATAGTGCGGCTGGATGGGTTAGGTAAATTGAAGAATGCAATGACCTCATCGGGAATCGAACCGAAGACCTTCCGGCTTGTTGCATAGTGCCTCAGCCAACTACGTTACCGCGTTCCCCGGCATGTTCTGCTATTCAAACAAAATCACAATCACACACACAAACTCAGTGTTTCGGCTTCTGATCTGTTTTCATCTTCAGGTGAAGGGTAGGAGACACCTACTGTGTTGGTCCGTTAGAAAGTTCTAACTTCAATCGCTGGAACCCAGTAATTCTGAGTGTTATACACTATAACCCTTTAGAATCTACCCGATTATACGATCAAAATAGGACGAAAGGGCGGACGGATAACCATAAAATTTCGGATAATACTGTGGCGTATAGACGCGTTGCTAATCAGTGACTCTGTAAACAGCGGCCGTTCTTGGGTAACGCCAGAAACAATAGAATAAATGTATTTTCTGTGGTCCGCGTCGCTGCCGTTTCTGGGCAACGGCTTCGTAAACACGCTCCTGCGGAAACGGACACGAATGCAACAATAGAAAAAGTGTTTTCTATGTGGTCCGTGCCATAATCAAGGCAGCTGGAGCAACGAGTTCAGTTGTAAAGTATTAGCCAGCGGGCAACGACGTGAATACAGAAGCTGAAAAATATCCATTGTTTAGAGCTGTTACAAAGCAACGGTTTGGGAGGTCTAGGAAAGACTGAGGCATATCGTATGTTGTAATGATTTGTGGAGTGTGCAGATCAGCTTTAGCGCTGTATTTGATTGTACACGCAGTTCCGAGTGGCGTGTATAAGTGTTCAAGGCACCCATTCACCGCTCCATACCCCGCCTATGGTCCCGCATACGACGTGATAAGAATAACATTAAAAATACTGAGTAAATATCTACAAAACTTTTCGTTTAGTGGGGGGTGCAGTCCAACTGGGTCCACTCGGCACGGTGGCCACTGATTTGCCTATTGTAGTCTGGCCCGGGTCATTATGATGATGGAGAATTTGGTGGAATGAAGATTGGCAGGGGAAACCGAAGTGCTCGGAGAAAACCCGCCATAGCGCCACTTTGTCCACCACAAATCCCACTTGACCAGACCCGGGATCGAACCCGGGCCGCCGCGTTAGGAAGCCAGCTTCTAACCGCTATGGCGCAGCCTCTAAAAAACTTGACGAAATAACGTGTAAGAATATTTAGTTGGTAAAATGAATACCAAAACGGGATGAAAAACTAAAATTTCAGGAAGTCATAACCTGGATCTGTGAGGGACAGAGTTTTTTAAGGTACAGTTAGGTAAGTTAAGCCGGTTTTGTGCTGGCGCTCATGTCAGGTGGGATAACCGACAGTCAGACATTCAGGATTCTACTCTACTGCATTTGAGAAATCCCGTGCACTAGTTGAGCACTTTATATACGGTATATATATACCCTATGGGGGCTCTCTCCGAGCTACACTGCGTTACAAACGAGAAGTTCGTACACTTCACAGTCACCGCCACTAGATCCTCAAACATTACGAGAAAAATGACAATTTGATGATTTCTATGATTTATTTCCAAATTCAACAATAAAGTTACAAGCCGGAAGGTCGTGGGTTTAATTCCCGATGAGGTCACTGAATTGTTCAATTGACCTAATCCTTCCAGCTGCAATATAACCCTGAGGTCGACTCAGCCACTAACATAAAAATGGGTGCCTGGCATCTTCCTGGGGTTAAAGGGCGGTCGGCGTATAAGACTGACAACCTCACCGCCATCTGTGAGCCGATTGTCCAAAAAATATGGCAGCCTCGACGTCTCACAACTCTATGGACCTCCACGGTCTGTTACAGGGATAGCTTCACCTTTGGGTTTTTCAATCTTTATTACAACCAACATAACTGAAGAGGTTGCTTTGGCGGTAGAGGTCTAATATTTTATATGGAAGGAGCTTGGTTCGAATTTCGGGTAGGATATCGGCTACTATGAATGAGATTTTCGTGATTTTCCACGATACTTCCATATAACTGCTAGTATAATATTTCCAGTAGGATATAACAGCTTCCTTTCTAACACATTCTTATTCATAATTCGTAATTCACGTTATCATCCGAAGGTACAGTCTAGATATTGAGGGCGTCGTTAAATAACAAGGCAAAAATGGACCAACAATCGATGCTATTCACTTGACAGCGAATCAGAAGTTGTTTGCTCTTATTAATTTCATATACAAATGTCTTGATAAACATATTTTTACGAATGACGCATTTAGTTTTAATTTTTGTTTTCGTTACACTAGCGTCGTCGTCTTCTCGGATGATTTCTAGCCCTCTGTACCAGGCACTACCTCTTGCGACAATATGTCACCCTGATAGCTGCACAGCTCCATATGCTGCTCTCTCGCGTGAAACTGACTAAACACACAGTCTAGTTTCCCTACCGTCCGCTAGATTACGCACTGTAGCTTGTTTTCACAATTATCTCGGCACGTCTGTCTGATGAATACTTCATATCGCGCAGTCTCGTGCTATGTGATGCCGTGAAACTGCAGAAATATGGTTCCTCCGAAACGTTGATACTTATCTACTAAATTGTATGGTATCACGACTCACAAGATCATAATCTTAATATCCGTAAATTGCCTCTCAGAATTATTTGTTTTTAATTATTTTGTTTTCTTTTTCACTGGCTCCATAGACCCCTTGGGCCCTGGCCTCTGATTTTTCAGTTTCATGATCATTTTACAGACGTTAAGTCTCCTTGGACGAGTGATCACCTCGCAGCAAGGCCTACCTAGACAAAGGACAACACAAACACAGGCGAAACATTCATGCCTTGTGTGGTATTCGAGCCCAGGATCCCGGCTTCCGAGTGGGTGAAGACAGTACATGCCTCAGACCGCTCGACTGCCGTGAACGGCCTTTAATTTGATTTACTGAAAGGTAGTTTCAAGAAAAGATTTTTGGTTATGTTCGATTTTGTAAAACACGGCAAGTAAAGTGAACGGGGTCCGATTCCCTATAAGAACAAATATTATTTTCTACATCACCCTATCCTCAACACCTAAACTCATTTACATCCAACCGGCAGAGGAAATTCTTTTCTGGCGTAAAGCGAATTCCGTGAATTTGGATGCGAGTTCATTCTGGCTGCGATTATTAAGAGAAATCTCTTTCAGAATGTGACGCCGATTTGCAGGCACATAGTACCGCCGTATTGAGAGTTGAAGTTCTGAAGATGGTTGCAGTACGTTCCTCCAAAATGCAGGTGAGCTTCTACTGGACTACGTGGCACCGTACCTCAGAAAACAGGGCTCCTCAGAGCGTGAAGTTCACACATCTGCGTAATGAAGGCTCTATAATGCGAAGAATTTTACTAAGCCACCTCTAGGCCGCGCCATAGCTCAAGCGGTTAGTCGCTGGCTTCCCACCGCGGCGGCCCGGGTTCGATCCCGGGTCTGGTCAAGTGGGATTTGTGGTGGACAAAGTAGCTCTGGGGCAGGTTTTCTCGGAGTACTTCGGTTTCCCCTGCCAATCTTCATTCCACCAATTGCTCCACAATCACCCTCACCTATCATCTGGGGCTGGTACAATAGGCCAGAAGTAGCCGCAGTACAAGGGACTTAGTCCCACCCCACTAGCAATAGAAAAAAAAACACCTTCTTGGTGAATGCTAAAGAAAAGGGGGCAACATATATATTTACAATCAGTAGAAAGATTCTGAACAAATTATATTGTTGCATGTAGATCCGTTGCTAAGTATTGTCTGTAAATAACGACCGTTGCTAGGCAATGGGGGTAACAGCTTCGTAACGCGCAGCAATGGAGTAACTGAGAAGAAAATATTTCTTACTTCTGCATGGTATGGAATCCTCACTCCTCGGTAGTACAGCCAGTCTGCAATGTATGATAAAGGAATAAAGCAAAAGTTCTCCTTTGCCAAATTACGCATCACGTCACGAAGACGCACCGAGGAAGTTGACAAATAGCTCCAAGCATTCTTAACATCAGCACAAGATGGAGATGTGTGGTCAGCTTCACACACCGGAAGCTCTGTCTCCGGAGTAAGAGATCCACGGCGCCCATTGGATAGGAGGCTTGGTGGGTTAAGAGGGATGGTTCTGGAGAACGTCAATATCTCTTGCGCGTAAAATAACTTCAGTTCGGATACCTTGGTTTTACATCTCGTAGCCCAGTCGCCATACCGACTGAGCTATCGCGGCTCTCAGTTCTCTGTTAGGGGCCTACCTGTTCTGCTACAAAGTTGGGCGTGAGTCGCGCGGTAGCGTGGGGAACCTCGTACACCGCGAAGCCAATGGCGAACAGCGGTTTCTTCTTGCGCGTTTCCGGAAGAGTGTCGTAGAACTGTGTGACGGACACCACGACATGACACTTGTTGCTGTTCGTCCGCGGTATCTGGATATGAAACTGAGGATTCATTGCCGTCGTGTCTGCAACATAAACAAGAACTGCGTTAAACGTGTCTGGAGACATCAACGATGGGTAGGAACACTAACTCCAGTTCGATGATAATACAGCAACGTTAGTTCATTCAGAAGACACATTCCCGTGCTTGTTTGACGGACTATACTACAAGATGGAAGATCGAGTCCCGATGAGGTGGATTTTATCAATTGACCTAATCTTCCCAACTGCACTATGGTCCTGGTGTCGACTCAGCCTCTAAGAGAAACGAGTACCAGGAATCTTTCTAGGGGGTAAAGGGCGGTCGGCGCATAAGGCTGACAACCTCACCGCCATCTGTGAGCCGATTGTCTAGGGAATTTGGTAGCCTCAGCGTCTCACAACCCTATGGGCCTTCACGGTCTGTTACAGGAAGATTAACCTTTAGCTTTTATCGTCCCCAGAGGCTCCGGTGAATTTCTACTGGACCACATGTCACTACGGCTCAGAAGATAGTGCTCTGTATTCTTTACAATACTCATCTCCCTACTGCCTTTGTTTCGCCCAGGGAAATAAATTCATATACGCAGTCAGCTTTCTGTTTTATTTTGAAGATGGAAACAGTAAGTTCCTTCGGAACATTGGTAACGATGTATCATACTAAGTGACGTCACATCTTCATGTTCAGAACCGTGGGAACGGCACATTGTCCCTTGTTATTCAAACAATACAACTGGGTGACGGTTGTGTGACTGGATTTGTCGATGCCGATTCATTAATACGAGACTCTTCGGTAACCGTGTCAAGCAGGTGCTGACATCTTGTGAACACGTTCATAAACTTCAATAACCCTGTAGGATTTGAAGTTCTCACACCGCTGTTTATGATGAATACAATCTTCTGAGATATAACGCTGTTTAGTCCGTTGAAAGCTAACCGACGTTTTAGAGGAACACATAGCCTCCATCTTCGGGGTAGAATAAGCAGAGTAAGATACCAGCGTGAACGGTCGACCCGTGTGGAGGCGGGGTCGAATACCTCCGCCGTGACCCTGCGAGTTGTAGGAGGCGACGAAATGTGAAGTTTCAAATCTCAGAGAGTAAAATATGGTCGCGAGTCCCAAAGGACTCGTACCCATAAAAGACTGCTTGGGCAATGGCCAGAAGCATATATAAAAGGCAGACTTGTCTTCTCGTCAGAGAGGGCGCCCCACAAAAAACAAGACCGTAACTGTCAAACAGTAATAAATATCTGGTCATGAGCGCCAGAAGGGGCGAGAAACCAAAACTTATTGACTGACTGACCGTCAGTAGCAATGTGACTTTGACTTTGACAAGAATAGTTCAGTCGAGAGTCAGGCTGTGGAGAGAAAACTAGGAGGTTGGTGTGAAATGGCCCCCAACCTGGGAGGCAGTCAGTTGAACTAGTGAGGCAGTTGGCAGGGAGCTGTCGCTCATGGAGGACTTGAGCCCAGAAGCAGAGGACTAGCCACTGTTAGAAGCCGTTACTAGGCAACTTCTAGTGAAGATACTGCGAGCTGGAAAGGCGTGATTTTATAAAGTGTGGAAATAGCGATAGTGTTATAGATATTTGTAGTTACGACCTGTAAGCGGTCAATAAATCCATTCACAAATCCAAACCCCGTCTATAGTTACACTTACTATGTGACAATTCTATTCGTTTTTTTTTATTTTAATGGCGATTTTAGTTTCTTTTTAGTACTATGGTAAAGTAATTCTGAACAATTACGACCTGCAGAATTACTGGGTTTTTGGGCTCTTTCCATAGTCCGGAATTCTAGGAAGTAAAATAAAACGACGTTTCGGAAACTGGATATTTTTCCGTCTTCAGGTGAAGAAGAAAGGCACCTACTCAGTTGGGCCCCTTAGAAAGAGCTAATCTCAATCACTGGCCTGGAGATTAGCTCTTTCTAGGTGTCTTCCCTCCTCACCTGAAGACGGAAACAGATCCAGTTTCCGAAACGTCGTGTCTTCTATTATCTACAATCCTGGACGATGGAAAAAGTCAAGAAACCCGGTAATTCTGTGTGTAATCCACTATCGTCAGAACCCTTTAGAATTATGGTTTGGATTCAACGCATATACTACGTAAATTTCCCTTTCAATATCCGTTAAAAAGTTACCTTGACGATGGTTTAATAATGGTAGAAACATGTTACGGAATTGGAAGCATATGATTCATGAAATTTCAAAGTAAGTGATACACTCTGATGGTATTCGACGTCGATTTCACGGTCCGAACTCTTCAGCGCAAAGCGGAAACAACTTTCTTCAGTAGAGCTAGCGTGTGATTGGTGAGAGGAGGTTTTTGTCAACTGGACAAGAAAATACTTCTTTCTGAGTTTACTGTCGTCGCTGTTGCTACCGTCCACACTTGACCAAGGTAAGCGCGAATTATGAATTCGTTTATACGGTGTCAGGCAGTGATACTGTCTGGCCTTACCTGGCTGTGGAGACCCATAGAAATCCTGGCTGCCACATTTTCTCTAACAATCGGCTCACAGATGGCGCTAAAGTTGTCAGCCTTACGCGCCGGCTGCCTTTACCCCCAAGGAAGATTCATGGTACTAATTTCTATTAGAGGCTGAGCCGAACCCAAGATCATAGTGCGGCTGGAAGTGTTAAGTCAAATTAAAATCTAATGATCTCATCGTGAATCGAACCCGCGACCTTCCGGCTTGTAGCATAGTGCGTCAACCAACTACGTTACTGCTTGCGCCCAGCTTTCATATTCATATGTGAACAAACTTTTGTGTTTTATGATGTTCAGTTTGTGTTCAAATTTGTAGTGATTAAGTGTTCCGAGTTTCTCTTTGTGACTTTAAATTCATCTCGTCACAGCAAAGAGAATGAAACAATATCTCATATATGACACCATTCCTGCATACGAAGAGATCTATCTTCTCTCTACTCCGGTGAAATTAAACAGCAATTTCACGTAGCCTTCAGTTCAGAGCTGGACAGTAAGCCAACAAATAAACCAGTATGATTCAGGTAGCAAGCCCTGATGATGCAGACATGTTCCTCCGAAACGTCGGTTTTACCGGACTACAATTGGTGTTGTGGGAGCCACCTACATTGAATTACGCGCTAGCCAATCAGCGTGGACCACGGCAACTCCAACGTCCATTGGTTCGCGCGCCGCCTAGCGACGACGTACCTCCGACACGCTAGTCGCCAATCGCAATATATACCTGATTACTGAGTAGTTGCGTAGCAATGGATGTTTCCTAGACTTAGATCGACGACTAGCGTGTAGGAGGTATGTTATCGCTAGGCGACGCGCGAACCAATGGGCGTTGGAGCTGCCGTGGTCCGTTTGATTGAATGTGGGTGGTCTCCAAAGTGTACTTTACCTGTGTAGCTGGGCCCACCGCCTGCGTTATATCCAGAACGCCACCTGCGTCTTGCAAGCACCGCTCGCCAGGGCTGCTTTGAATGCAGAGCGGGCTCACTCATCCAGTCATCAGGTCCGACATGTACAAGGTCCAGGTGAGTAAAGTGGCGCGCGAAGTCTTCGAAAGACATCCTGAAATACGATAAATTTGCAGTGGCGGCTCGTGCATATCTATGGGAGTGAATACTATTTCCTTTTTGGCTGTTTATAGAACTTAATTTCATTCAGAAGGCTGAAGAAAATTGAATAATAAAGAGTTTTATAATATTCACTCCTCGTCAAATATTATTAGAATGTTCAAATAGATAAGTATGAGGTGGGCAAGGCATATAGCATGTATAGGAGACAAGTTCATTCAAAGTCTTGGCAGGAAAACTGAAAGGAAGAAACCACTAGGAAGACCTAATGGTAGATGAGAAGATTAATTGAACGAATAAGCTATGGACACGTTCATTCACAGAAGTAAGACAATGAATATTCTCTCAGTCTGATGTATAGTAACAATACCGCGTCTAAAGCATCTTTTGGGGCAACGTCATCATAAGATATTGACGTGTATAATGACGCCATTATTAAAAATTTACCAGCTAAATGATCTTTCGGGTTGCTTCATCATCATCATCATCATCATCATCATCGTCATCAGATGCTGGTATATCTATTTACGTCATTTTTAGAAATTTAACAGTTTCTAATTTAAAGATACGACTGGAAACAAAATCAACATTTCAGAGATTTCGTTGAACACGCTTGGAAAGATGTATCACAAAAGATGCTTTAGACATGGAATACATTTTTCAGCTCACAGATTATATATGATGATGAATCGAACACGACAGGTTCACCAAGAATGCTCGATTAAGAGTGATCTGAAAAGAAACAACCATGACTTATTTTAAGATAGTATTATTAATAGAGCATGTAGACCCGTTGCTAGGCAACGACCACGAAACAAACAACTAGACAAGGGCCGTTACTAGGAAACGGTCCGTAAACAGCAACAATGGAACGGTGTTTTCTGTATGGTCATGCCGAGATATTATAAGCAGAACAGTTGGTGGGAGTCAGTTTGATGAGTGACTTAGTTAGTCGCTTAGTTAGGTCGCACCATAACTCAAGCGGTTAGTCCCTGGCTTCCCACTGCGGCGGTCAGGGTTCGATCCCGGGTCTGGTCAAGTGGGATTTGTGGTGGATAAAGTGACGCTGGGGCGGGTTTTCTCCGAGTACTTCGGTTTCCCCTGCCAATCTTCATTCCACCAAATTCTCCATCATCATAATCACCCGGGGCAGGGTACAATAGGCCAATCAGTGGCCGCCGTGCCGAGTGGATCCAATTGGACTCCACCCCCCACTAAGCGAATTAAAAAAAAAATGTAGTCAGTCAGTTAGAGGACTGCTGAGGTCCAGTCGTGAGCTGTTGCTGTTAGAAGCTGCTAGATGGGGCATGGGGTGAGTTCAGGAAGCCAGAGGAAGGGGAACGTCCGCCGTTGGAAGACGTTGCAGTTAAGGTAGGGATCAATCAACATGAGTACAGTTTCGTTCAACAGCTGGCATCACTGTCACGCACCAGAATTCCCCGTCGTTCCTGACCCTGACGCTAAGAAGCTCTTTGTCCCTGTCGGATAGGCCGTCCCACTCCCAGGAACGCTCGCTCCAGGGACCGGTCCATTCGCCGCATCCCCATGGATTACGTAGCCTCACGAGAGGTGTCTCTCCCAGGGGACCGCGAACTCTGGCGAGTCCCGTCACACTGTAAGCGTGCTGCGTTATTAATCCGTTGCGCAGCCGCAGTTGTCGCTTGTTGTCTTTCTCCTAAAACATGAGAACATCTCGTCAAGCACGAGACTATTATTACATTACATGGCGATGAATACAGTTATTCTGAAATCTTGAAACCATCTCGTGGAACACGAGATGCATGCTACGTTACTGATCACATTTGTTGTAATTGTAGTAAAACATCTCGTAAAACGTGAGATTTACACTGCTTTATCATGTGACTGCAATTATCCTAAAACATTGGTTCATTTCGCCTCAGACGAGATTTGTTTTGAGTTAGAAGCAGATTTCTACTAAAATTTTTCTGAAACGCCGAAGTATGTCAAGTGAAATGAGACTCGCAGATCTTAGTTAGCAGACGGTGCTTACTGCGTTCCATGAGACTGTCCCATCAATCATGAGACCTGTACTACTTCATCATCTGCCGCCTGATGTGATTTTCCTGAACCACAAATTCATCTCGTCAATTAAGAAATTCATGTTAAGAATGCCGTATTCTGGGATGTGGCGCAGTGTAAATATTGTGTGAGCCGACGTTCCTCCGAAACGTCGGTTCACACAAGATCTACGCAGCGCCACATCCCAGAAGACGGCATTCTTCATAGTCACCGCCATGAAAACCTCAAATCTTGTATCAATTCCTCTTACGTTATCAGATTATGATTATTGAAAATTTCCTGAAATAATGAGCCATCTTGTTAGATTCAGGCTCCGGTATTAGCGATGATGAACTTGTCATGTACAGGACAGGACCAACTCACGTGGTTGATGCTGGCGACGAGTAGGCTAGAGCGAGGCACCGCACTGTTTAGCACCTGAAACGTGAGGTAGCGGTCCTGATTACCGAGTCCGAAGCTCTGTACGATGCCACCCGTGAGGTCTTGCAGCGCCCGCGTGGTGAAGCCCGCCTGCAGGCTCTCGTAGCATCCGTACAACCTGCAACCGGCATCACCCTGTAGAAATGCATGTGACACACAACACGGAGAGATAAAAGAATGACCATAGATCAAAATAATTTCAAGCAAACCCAAATTAAGTTGATCCTCAGAAAAAAAAATGCTCTTTTCAGACTAAACTGGCTCACAGAGCAACATAACTCTAAAAGAACACTGTAGCTCAAAGGAAACTCCATATAATAAAGAGACCCCAAGTATTTTGACCCTCTAAGTGAAAGGATCACAACAGAATGAAGGAATTACACACAGCAAAGTCTCCTCCCTAGTAATAAGGTCCTATATTATAATAGAATCTGCCTATGGTAAGTTTATCCTATTGAGAAACGGGAACCCCTTACAGCAAAGAAATGCAACGTCAAAGTCTCTGTATAACAGTTGGTAACATGCCGATATTTTTTGCGATTAGAAATTTTTAGCGCCTACTCCCCCCCACATCCGAAACACTAAGTTCACCTTTGTGGACTGTATATTGGCCACTTATCTCCATATTTCTAAGTGTATCAACACTTACTTAGCGTAGGCTTTCTCCAGTAGAGCGGCCCAGAACTCTGTTGGATTTGTGCAGTGAGTGTACACTAGTCTGCCTCTGTACGTAGGCAACCTGTCGTCCACCAGGACGTCCTTCCACTCTCCGAAGTGCCAGAACCGGAACCTACAATAAGCATGACCATGTGATGTACAGGTATTGCTCCCGTGGGTATGGCAAATCGAGTCACTGGGTGACACTTTCGTTTCAGAAGGTTGGACACGTAGTTTAAAATCTATGTCATTGGTGAGGGTTAATTAATCTGCACGAATGAAGGAGAAAACGAATGAAGAAATAAGCAAACAAACTACAAATGCAAATACACGTAAACAATTAAACAAACATAAATGAAAAAAATAAGGCTTAAATAGGTAAAGAAACACGAGACAAAAATTAATTAGCAAATGGATAATTTTTTTCCCTTGGCACTACAGCCCCAGTGGGCCTAGGCCTACCTCCATGAACTTCTCCGTTCACTTCGGTTTTTCTGGTTCTTACACATTCAGTAGGGCTCCTTGGGCGGGTGATCATCTCGTCGCAAGGCCTCTACCTGTACACAAACACATAAAAACGCACACACACAAACTAAACATCCATGCCTTGAGTGGGATTCGAACCCACGATCCCGGTTTCCAAGTGAGCGAAAACAGTACATACCTTAGACCGCTCGGCTACCGTGACCGGAAAATAAATAAATACACGAGCAAGTAACCAAATAAGCTACATAGTAACAAACAAATGAAAACGATTGAGCAAAGTAATCCTTAAATAGGTAAACAAACACGAAACAAAAATTAATTAGCAAATAAATCAATACACAAACAAGTACATAGCCTAAATAAATGCAGCCTACTGACTGAAAGACAAAGGACGGCGTGGTTTACTTCCTTTAAAGTTTCAGGCTAAAGGAGTTAGAATGGAAACATTACATTCTGTAGGAAACGCGTCATTACAGAAACATTAATTAAGTATGAACAAAGCAGTCTTCTGGGATTTGGCACCGTGTATAAGTGGTGTTAACCGACGTTTCGGAGGAACGTATCGCCTCCATTAATTAAGTAAACAAAAACTAAAAGTTTCTGACGATGATATTTTAACAAAAGTACGTATATTATGTTTCTTGACATTTTCCATCGTTCTGTTTTTATTTAAAGTACACCGTGTCTGCGCTTTCGGGCGAAACCTACTCAGCTGGGCCCAAGAGACCTAGTCCCTATCTCCGGACACCTGTATCAACACAAGGTACGCTATAAAAACCAAGCACAACGTAAACCATCTGCGGGAGTTACGGTAAAACAGTATAACATTAAAAAACTCGACACGTGTAAGGCACAACACCAGAGAACTATCAGAATAGAAGTTATCACTGGAGAGACAAATCCTCTGTATGAAAAAAAAAAGAAAAATATTCACAAGTTTCATCTGAAGACGAAGACAGAATCCAGACTCTGAACACTTTTTTTTTTGCAAATGAAAAAAGAACAATGGATAATGTCCAGAAATATAATATTTGTATTTATTAAGTGGTATGTTTTGTTCACACTTGAGATGCGGCAGTATCGTAAAACAACTAAACAGTATTCACGATGCGCTGTCTCCCAGCATCGACTGTTTCTTCGTATAAGGTGAACTTTCCCTAATTGGACTCGTACTTCGAGAACGGGAATGGGCTCGGACAGACAGCAAAAAGCAATGAAAGGACAGGAGGCTGAGTATGAAGAGAACAATACCAACTTGGCGTAAATACAGGCTGCCAAGAAATCTAAACCCCAAGTCTGCTCAGTTAGTGGACTCGACCAAAAATATCGTTCGCTCTGTTGAGAATGACCAGGTATATTAACATGGAGTGTACCTCCATGCAGCCGAGTCCTTTCGAGAAGCCAACAGTTGTTCATCTAGTCTAGAGCTGTCTAGTATTTTATGGAACTCAAACATTTATTATAGTGTTCGTAAGACTCCGCCACTGGTCACTATCCACAGCCAGATCAATCCAGTCCACGCCTTCCCATCCCATTTCTTTAAAATCTATTTTCATAATATCTTCCCTTATATGCCTATGTCTTCAAATTTGTCTCTTTCCTTCAGGCGTTCCTATCGAAAAGTATGCATTTTTCCCCACGACCCCAACAGAGGGAAAGTAACAGGTTAGTTAAAGGCAAATTCTTATCACGTCTCAATTAATTAAGCATCAAGCTGTGAATATGTATGTATGGGAAATTGAAGGCATGGCTCCATTCATTCTCAGTATTAGATGAGGGCCGGTGGTCAGCTTGGCTCCTAGGCCGCTTTACTTGCAGAGGAAATGTCCCAGGAAGCCACTGGACAAGGTGCTGATTGGGCCTCAGATGCAGTCCTCCTCCTTTAGTATGTACCTGGGATAAAAATCCCTAAGATTTTCGGCCGGGTACAGGAGTGTTCTACTTTCGTTTCTGCGCGAAAATTAGATAATGGAGTTTTCCGATTCCCATAATGTGTTTCATTATATCTTCCGATTTTCAGTAATGCGTTGCATTATCGCTTCCGGTTCTCAGTAATGCGTTGCATTATCTCTTCCGGTTCTCAGTAATGCGTTGCATTATCGCTTCCGGTTCTCAGTAATGCGTTGCATTATCTCTTCCGGTTCTCAGTAATGCGTTGCATTATCGCTTCCGGTTCTCAGTTTTGCGTTGCATTCTCTTCCGGTTCTTAGTAATGCGTTGCATTATCGCTTCCGGTTCTCAGTAATGCGTTGCATTATCGCTTCCGGTTATCAGTAATGCGTTGCATTATCTCTTCCGGTTCTCAGTAATGTGTTGCATTATATATTCCGATTATCAGTAATGCGTTGCATTATCTGTTCCGGTTCTCCGTAAAGCGTTGCATTATCTCTTNGTGACATGGTATAAGAAGAACTTATACATATTATTTGAGCGTGAATCTGAACAGGATACAGGATGGAAATTAGTGGAGAAAGGAAGTGATTGCGTGTGATTGTGAANATTATCAGTAATACGTTGCATTATCTCTTCCCGTTCTCAGTAATGCATTGCATTCTCTCTTCCGGTTCTCCGTAAAGCGTTGCATTATCTCCGTATACTTCTGTAGGTTTACCTTACCTGCAAATATGACATTTCAGAAGGGTTTTATAAAAGTCACATTTAAATTTCAGCTGATTCCTTTAAGTCAAATCAAGTTTCCCAGAAAGCACAATAGATCGTTGAAGGTCGCAGTGAAAAGCCAGATTATTATGGCCCACCCCTCATATATTCATTCATCATTCATTCATTCATTCATTCATTCATGTTTCCTGAAAATGACCGTTGATAGGCATAGCACATTACACAAGTCAAGGGACGAGTGTCACATGCTGATAGTATTTTTTTTTCCTTCAAATGTCGAAGTTTTCATCCTGTGGATGGTTAAATAATGAAACAACCAATTCTCCAGTTGCATCTGTGGACAGTGAAAAGAGAGGAAGAAGAACCGACGGTATAAAAACATGGCTGTTATAAATGCAAGAGCAGGTCCGCTCCTGAGTTACATCTTCATCTCTCGAGACCCTTATCCATTTCATTAGCTTCATAGAAACAATGGTAAGCCATTAAATGAAGACGTGCAAGACAAAATCAGTCACTGTCTACAAGAGAGATATCCGATGTGCAGGTGTTCAGTCAACAGTCCGATATGCGTGACTTGAGTTCCAGGCGGAAATGACTGATTATTATCTTCTGAAATGACGCCACACTCTTTAGTAGATTCTCACTAGACTACACGGGGTCACATTCCAGGAGACGACCATTGCATATTACCGTTTCAACAACAATCCGTCACTGAGCAATTTCCTGAGGCAGATGAATGCACTCTACATCCTAATAACTTGTTACTATAAGTTCCATTTTAATATTATCTTCAAGAATACGGTGTCCTTGGATGTGATGCAATGTAGTATGGTAGATCTTTATAGACGTTTCGGAACAGCCCCGAAGCTGAAGACATCACATTTCTCCGGCATGTTCCGATATAATTCCTCAAATTAGAATGTAAATTTGGCTTCAACTGGTTAGATAACAGGTCCGAATCTCGGTCAGAATATTGACTATCGTGACTTTTCATTACTTATTCTAGGTAAATGTAAGGATAGTGCCTCAAATTACGCTGCGGTTGCTTCCTTTCAAATCCCTTCCAATTCATCCATCTTCCTATCTTTCGAAGTTATAAAATCTAGCTATTTGCAGCGTTGTTAAAAACCACACAACCCTCTCATTATCTTAAACTGTTATACCTCTTTAACGAGCTGCGGTAGCATTGTTGGTACAGCGATTGGCTACGGGCTGGACAACCGAGGGGTCGATGTTCGAGTCCCTGTAGGGTCAAGAATGTTGTCTTCTCCAAATCGTCAAGAACGGCTCTGGAATCCAACCAACCTTCTATCCAATGGGTTCCGGGGGCTCTTTCCATGGGGGTAAAGCGGCTGGGGCGTGAAGCTGACCACTCACCAACCAGCGCCGAGGTCAAGAAAATATGGATCTATACATCTACTCCCCCATACGCCTTCATGGCGTATGTTACACCTTTTTACGAAACTCCCGCTTCGGATCATGAAGAACAGTTTCCCTCCTAATCTTGCTGTCACTTCTGCGCAGGTCCGCAGACAATGGCAGCGTGACCTGGGTATCCAGCACTCTCACTTTCCTTATAGAACGGCTGCGATTGGCATTCCGCGGCGGCACCTCCCCNCCGTTTCTCTCATATTAGGAAAGCCGCTTCGCTCCTGAATCTCTATCGCGATCTCTCGTCGTGACTTATTTGCGTCTTACTGACATAAATGTATCAGCTTCGCCTTCCTTAGGCTCCTCCTCCAACCTTACCACTCCCATAACCTCACATTCCTGGTCCTGTTCCTCAGTAATAAGAATAATAATAATTTTATTATCCAAGTACGTAAAAAGTGAAGTAACGTCTTCTCCACGTTAACTGAAATATCTGCAACGAGTTCGCGGGAAAGCCTATGGAGGCGCCACTTGACGGCTTGCCGGTGACCGCAGACAAGTAGATTGTTAGCAGTAGTGGTAGTGGTAGTGGTGGTGGTTAGTAGTAGTAGTAGTAGTAGTAGTAGTAGTAGTAGTAGTAGTAGTAGTAGTGGTAGT